AGTGTGTGAATGTGCTGACAGTCAGCAGAGTGTGTTCATGTCTCAGTGGGACAGGGTGTAGTTATCCTGGGAGGAAACAAGCTTTATTATGGCAGATATACTCGTCTTCGTCCACAGGTGAGTGCTGCTCTACGCTGGACTCTGATAGTCAGCACTATGTGATCGTTTATTTGAGGTCAGTGATGTTTGAATTAGGGATGCATTGATACAGATATTAAAAACCAGGCCATTACTCAACCAATTGATCAGCTTTCAGAGACATTCGGTCCAATCTATACAATGTAATCTTTGTATATCTTCATTATATACTGGACGTTGTGCTAAAATCCCGATGTTTTTGAAGATATTCCATGATTTGTCAATTAAAAGATTATAAGATGATTGACAGAAGAATAACAGCCATCTATTTTTGTAATATATTAACTGTAAAAGTCACGTTCCATGCAAAAATAGCAGAAAATACTGAGCTTTTTTGGCTTGTTTTATTACATGTATTTACACATTAATGGGTTGTAAACTTACAAAATGAGTAATTTGGATGGACATATTTCACTATTTTCCGTTGAATCAATAAAGAAGACATCAGCAAGTCTCGCCTGATCCCAGTGTACAGCTTATTAATACACACTGGTTTGGGATCAGTGCTCGTTAGCGACATAGACCAGGTCTGAAGAAGTGGGATTTCTTCTCCCTACATTTGAATGTGTTGGCCGATGATTTGCTGGATCATGTAGTGCCAAACAAACCGCATATGAGAGAGATTTACGGGCGCAGCGTGGAGTATCCCAGCGCCCGTCCCGAAGCATCGCTCATCCTGAAATGTAGCTGCACTGTTCCTCTCCATAACCGTTGTATTGGATTCTCCCGGCCTCTTAGTTCCCGTCACAGATCGATGTAATGGGGTTCCTAAATCACAGCAAACCTCTCTGTGCGGAGGCTGATGGCGGGAGACACATCTCCATAACTCAGCTGCTCTGTCTGTGTGTGTGTGTGTGTGTGTGTGTGTGTGTGTGTGTGTGTGTGTGTGTGTGTGTGTGTGTGTGTGTGTGTGTGTGTGTGTGTGTGTGTGTGTGTGTGTGTGTGTGTGTGTGGTGTGTGTGTGTGTGTGTGTGTGTGTGTGTGTGTGTGTGTGTGTGTGTGTGTGTGTGTGTGTGTGTGTGTGTGTGTGTGTGTGTGTGTGTGTGTGTGTGTGTGTGTGTGTGTGTGTGTGTGTGTGTGTGTGTGTGTGTGTGTGTGTGTGTGTGTGTGGCCTAGCATTACTATGCTTGCGGGGACCTAAATCTGTTTACACAGTCACGTGTGGGGACTCGCCTCCCTTATGGGGACAAATTGGAGGTCCCCATGAGGGGAATCATTCATTTCAGGGTGAATACTTGGTTAGGGTAAGGTTAAGGGTACGGGTTAGGAATGTGTTGGTTATGGTTAAGGTTAGGATAAGTCTCCAGGAAATGCATGTAAGTCAATGTAATGTCCCCTGAAGTGATGTAAACATGGTATGTGTGTGTGATTCACCTTATTTGAATAGGGTGTATTTACATGTGTGTGTGTGTGTGTGTGTGTGTGTGTGTGTGTGTGTGTGTGTGTGTGTGTGTGTGTGTGTGTGTGTGGCCTAGCATTACTATACTTGTGGGGACCTAAATCTGTTTACACCAGGGGTCTCCAACCTTTCTTCATCTGAGAGCTACTTTGAAAAAAGGAAAGTGGCCAAGAGCTACTTGCATCACATCGCTTACATTTATTCACATAGCGCTCATCAGTTGAATTAAGCTATACTTTTGTACACGTACGAAATTGCAAAACCTAAAGCTTATCACAAATCTTAACTTCACATCAAGGTCCAAGAAAACGACAATGTCTCGCATATTATTATGGCTCACATAGTGAGTACATCACTGAGAATTCACATACATGTCCTTAATCACCACCTGACAAGCATCTTATGCACTTATGGTCAAATAAGTGCATTCACTCTTTTTCACAGTCAGTGAGATGAATGGCGCTGCATGGAGGTGTATGCTGGACCCACTTAGGTTCACTCTAATAGAGTCATTTAAATGTTGATCAGTCTTGTTCTGTATTTAGATTTCATGTCAGAAAAAGCTGCTTCACAAAGGTCTGTAGAACCGAACCAAATAAAGCAGACGTGTTCAGTGCTGCTTGGTGAATGTTCTTATAGTTTTCTGGGTCTACAAGGCTCCAGAAATGTTGTGAGTTTTGCTGAGACTTCAGCTGAACATGATTTTGGAGATTTATAACCTCCATCTCCACAGGATTAACACTGAACAGTTCAGCCATCTTTTTCTTCTTCTTCTTCGTCTTGACATTAAATTATAAACCATAATAAATCAACTGTATGGTCTAGCCTCCCTATATCTGTGTGTGAAATGGCTCCATCCTCAAAAACAAAAAACTAATTCTGCAGTCTAGCTGCAGCTTCTAGCAGCAAAGGACACTGAATGTCCTGAATGAGGCATCACACACATGACTTGAGTCTGAACACAGCAGACACCAGGAGTATTTACAACAGCATTATAAAAACTAAAATAGTGCATGTGGGTGCACACTTATTCTCTGTCTTACTGTTACATACATCCAATGAATGTATGAGACTAAGTTAGCTTCATCATATCGCAATCAGTGATTAAGTGAATAATAAAGTTTCTATCGGGTCACCATCAGCCTGTCACTCATTATTTTCAGGAGGGGGCGGGGTTTGCAGGAACGGAGAGGATACAGTGATCGCGGAAGCTTTCCTCCTGCCTTCACAAACTTTACACAAGTATTTATGAACTGAAAATAGCAAGAGGACATTCATACTCTGCAATCCAAGACTTGATTGAATCCACCAAAAACCTGACATGACGATAACGAGTGTTTTTCAAAAACACAAATCCCTCCCTGTGTGTCTGAGCCGCAGCGACAGGGTAAAATAATCAACCTCTCCAATATTGTGAATGGAGTCAATATAATCGCCATATGAGTAAAAACAATGGCAATTTCTCCATATTTACTTACTTTACAAATTGTACAGCTCTAACTCAAACACAGTCACTGCACCAATTTCACAGCTGACTTCTTTTAACAAGTTAAGGTTTATTTACAATTATTCAAAACAAAGAAATGGTCGCAGCTGATGAATGTCAGCGGCTGCTGCTTCCTTATATGTTGGGAAATCCTGAGTCAGGCATTTCCTTTGAGATGTAGAGTCTCACTTATAAACATATTCTTTAAGCACTTTAAATGGTAAAGACCTCACTGTGGATGTCTCTCCTCTGGCTTCCCCCAAATACTTTCCCATACTTTGTTGTAGTTGCATCTCCTTTTCTTTCTCTTACTTTCCATCCTAAATGTGCACCTCGGTAGCTTGTGCTGTGTTGTTTTGATCAGAATCAGGTTTATCACCAGGAAGGTTGACACGCACAAGGAATTTGGCTTGGTGTCGTGGTGCATAGATACAAAAACAACAATTAAAAACTAATGCTGTCAAAATTATCGCGTTAACGGCGGTAATTAATTTTTTGAATTAATTGCGTTAAAATATTTAACGCATGTAACGCATGCGCAGAATGGCCCGCCCCATACATCCCACCAGTGGCAGCGCCAGGGTATGGCTGGGGTAGGCTACACCCATACCAAGAAATGGCTTAGCCCCACCATGAAAAATGATGTTAAAGTAAGCAAAATAAAGTCCGCCAACTCTCGCCGAGAATTGCACAGACAGCAGTTAGTAAGATTGATTTCAGTAGCCACTTGTCTGGAAATACCGAAGACCAGAAACGGTTTTGAAAACTTTTGTCACGTAGTGATCGTCTTCTCAATAGAACATCTTTGATAATGTCTTCTGGCCAATCAGAATCAAGATAACGGTGTGGTGTTGTTGCAGGAAGTCCAGACGGAGAATACTTTTGCTGTAGTACAGGGGTGCACATAACTGGTACGCAGGTTATGTGCGTAATTTCAAATGTGTACTGTCTGTCACTTGTGTCTCAAAGTGCATTTGCGTATACGTACTTGTGAAGCTTTTCCAGAAGGCGGTTAGATCACCGGACGACAGAGTCGGTCTCCGTGTGCACAGACAGGCTGCTGTTAACGTCGGTCTGTACAACGGAATTGTGCCAAAACTACACCAACCGGCTGCGGAGGGAGACTCCCCCCCTTCACTGGAGAACTGCGTTAAAACAGCTGATCACAACGTTCACACTCTGTGGTCACGAAGTACTCCACTAGCCCCCCCCCCCCGTCGACTTTCCTGAAGTACTCCCCCGTTGATAGAAATCAACACGTAATGAATTAAGACCCCACGGTTTGATGATTGATAGGTGTGTGGGCTGTCTTTCATTTTGACACACAGAAAAATGTTATAATAAACATACATACTGTAGGCTATGTTAAATGGATATATCCGCCTTCTTTCATTTATCTTTCCATTCCCACAACAATATACATAAAGAAATGACATATTTTGGACATAGTTTGAATGGTGATTAATCATGTTTAATTAATTTTTAAGCTGTGATTAATCTGATTACAAATGTTAATCATTTGACAGCCCTAAAAAACACATGTAGAAAACTACTTGAAGAAAACTATAATAACATTAAAAATATATAAAAACATATAGCAGTATTTACATTGAATATGATTGAAATCGTAGAAATAGAATTGGAATAAAATATGTGCAGTAATGAAAAACGAAATGATTGTAAACATTATGTGCATTCATGTAATGACTGATTGACATCTGAAACTGGTGTTGGCGCTCTTGTGCTTTCTACATAGCCATTGGAAAAAAGACAAGTTTTAGGAGGGCGACTGTCAATGAGATGTGGGACATGGTGTCAGTGTGCGCAGGAGAAGTGATAAACCCCTCTAACGGGGCTGAAACAGAGGGGTCTGAGGCTGCGATGGGTGATCTGTTTGGTATACATATGGCCCTGTAATATATTGTTCAGATATAGCATGAGCTTTAAGTAACCTCTGTCCTCTTTCTGTCCCCACAGCTACAGCCTGGAGGGTCTCAGCGGGATCCAGGAGGATCTGAGGGCCCCGGTCACAGCTCAGAGGCCCCTCAGAGTCCTGGAGCCCTCGAGGAGACAAGATTACCGGGGATCACTGGTGTCTCTGAGCGAGATCCAGGAGGAGCAGAGGGTCAGCACACACACACACACACACACACACACACACACACACACACACACACACACACACACACACACACACACACACACACACACACACACACACACACACACACACACACACACACACACACACACACACACACACACACACACACACACACTCAGAATCAGAATACCTTTATTCGTCCCACAGAGGGGGCATTTACATTTGTTACAGCAGAAAAGAGCCAAAGACAGCTTACACACACACACACACACACACACACGCACGCACACACACACACACACCCTTATGTCCCCATAAGGAAGGCAAGTCCCCACACATGACTGTAAACAGATTTAGGTCCCCACAAGGATAGTAATGCTAGGACACACACACACACACACACACATACAGACAGACAGAGATGCACACACACAAACGCACATATCATTTTCTATTGACATGTAAATAGACTTCTTGCACTATTTTGTATTTTTGTATTTTATTATATATGTTGTTGGAGGAGCTCAGGTCAGAACAATTACATTGTCATTTCTACACTGTAGCTTTGTGCAAATGACAATAAAACATTTGAATCTTTGAACACACACACACACACACTTCTATCCTTCAGATATCTTATCCTCATAATGTCTCGCAGTCCTGAGGGATCCTTAAAAGCGTCCTCGGTCTAATTCACACGAGAGGGAGATGTGTTTGTAAAGCTCGTACACAAACAACAACACTCGTAAACATCGAGGGGAACTTCAGTGAGCAGATTAGTAGGAATTAATAAACATGCTTTTCCTCCGGCGGCTCCTCATCAAAAATCATTCATTGAGTTTCCTGTTTCCTGTTTGAGTGGCTGCTAGACATAAAGACACAGCTTTCTAAATGAGCTTTTCATTCATTATCTTGTAGTCTTTTTTATAAACACTTCTAAAGTCAGCGTGTGAGTTCTGTCGGTGCACCTATTGAATGAGAAGTGCTCCATAAACACACGTTATGATCAGTGTTCTGGTTCCTCTTCTTAATGCACTGAGTTTGACTGAAGTGTGTTTGGGTGCAGAAATCGAGGCGCTATCGGCCCCTGAGGAACAGCTGTCCCCCGATGGCCCTCCCTCTCACCAAGTCTGTGTCCATGCTGGCCATCAGCCAGAGAGACCTCGATGGTGAGTGAACAGTCATGGTTACACCCTGTCATCATCTCTCTATAACCTGCCTTCAAATCTGAAGATATCAAAATGACGGGTGATAAAGAGTGAAAGCTATATATCTTATAAATGTTGCTCCACCTGTTAGGGTTGGCGAGGTTATACCTTTATATTCGTATCATTTATCAACCTGAGCAGAGGTCTAAGAATAACACCTGTAAAAAACTGAATCTGATTTCTACACCACCTTTTAGGTTAGGTTCATGTTTCTTAGGCGTTACAGTGTCTCTTTACCTGGACATGTCTCCCTCCTTCTCCCCGCTGTGTATATAACATTTCTTAATTGTATTTAATAAGTGTCCTGCTGTCTTTCTGTCTTCCTTCCTTCCTTCCTGCCCCCCCCAGCTGTGGGACACCTGAGGCGTAAGAGGAGAATTTCTTTCTCTTTCAACTTCCCCCTCATCAAATCTAAGTCTCAGTTCCTTTACGGGGAATCTTCATCTAGTGATGATGAGGACAACCTGAGTAAGTGATGATCTGTAGACGTAGCAACACTAGAGAATAGCTGTGGTGTTAGAGCGTCAGTAGTTTCCTATCTGGACCCAATGAAGGACCCAAAACATTAGGAATCAAGATGGGACCATTGGGTATAAGATATAAAACCTAAGACACAATGATAGTGAGCTTCTGGTTAGATATGACCATCCATGTTCTCATGAGAATGATTTGTGCATTTGTTATCTGTTGACTGCATCCTATAAATGATTGTTTATCAGTTTTTCTTTCTTTTTCTTTGTTTTTCTGATTTGTGGAGTTATATGTTTTATGTATGAAATAATGTAGTATCATGTCAGCCCTGTAACCATATATTTTCTCAAGAAGCAGAAAAAGAAACACATGTGAGATATTTATATTATTGTTAGGGCCAGAAAAGAACGGAGGACCTATTATGATCGCTTTGGTTTTCATTATTAAGTTCTCCTGGAAGTAAATCACATTTTTGAAGGCCTTACCTTTTAAACTTTACACTTTTACATGTTATATGTTCATGGTCGCGTTCTCGGACTCTCGCTAAAAACTCGCCCCATACAAGTTGCCAAAAGGCAGCCCCTCATTGAAGTTCTACCTCTACATTTGATCAGTGGCGAGCCGTGACTTTTATACCTAGGCCCTCTGACCCCCACCCCTTCCCTCGAGTTATTACGTCACAGCGTATACTTCAGCGGAATATCAAAACAACGGCCCGGGGTGCAAAACGCATCAATGAAAGCGACCCTCGACCACACAAAACAACACCTGTAGATAACCCTATTTGTGTTCTTTGAAATTGAAAAGGATATTGCATTGTGTTTGTTACTTTCGTTGCAGTTGTATGTTTTAAGTGTAATTTGGCATGCTTTTATTTTGAAGGCGAGTTAACGCTGTTGACAGGAAGTTGTTGTTGTTATGGAAACAAGAAAAGTTTCACAGCGGGCGGAACTTGTCATAAAGTCCGCGATAATAACACCCACCCATTTAGAGGGAAGATATGATTGGTCAATTGTACTGTCATTTGACATTACTCTCTCGTTCAGCTACTATAGCTGGCCCTCTGTGAATTCATAGCTGGACCGCCTGGACGTCCAACAGCTCCTCTCTTCACTCGCAGAGACGAGCTTCTTTCATTTAACTCTTCACATTCCAACAGAAACTGAATAGGCAGATTCGAAGGATTTATTTCTTTGGAAATGTTATTTGAAATACAATTAAATCAAGTTATTTTGATAAAACTAATGAAAAATATAACTACAAAAATATATAAACCAATATATTTTTTTTTTTAATGTTTTTAAATATTATTTTGTAGAATATCTTAAGCCCTCACAGAGGGCCTAGAGGGCCCTGACGGCTCGCCACTGCATTTGGTATTTGGTAGCTATATGTAGCACGGTGAGATGCACAAAAAAGCCTCTTGGAGTCATACCGTAAACTTGTGCACTTTTCACATTAATATGGCCAGTTCTTTCTCATTGCCCCAGTAGAAACACAGACCACACTTTTCCCTCATCATCCTGTTTAAGATTTGCCTCTCTGATGCAGAGCAGGTCAGAGGAGAGAGAAACGATTGCCTGGGAAGGTGTATAGCTACGTTTAACGGATTCAAAAGAATGTGTGGTGATTTCTGGGCAAAGCCTGCAGTGTTTGCCTTGATGTGAAATCAGAAAGAAACACAACTAGGTCAGAGATTAAGTAACAGATAGAAACAGTTTGGCAGGAAATCTGACCTTAAAATACTGCATGAAAAGGAAAAGTGTGTATTGAGAGTTCACGAGGTTCGATGTGTTGCAGTCAGATATTTGTTGGAGCCGGTCTCCAGCAGCCATTAGTGTCCCGGCACCGGATCAAAGGAAACTCTTTGAAACACTTTGAGCTCCGGCTCCTGGCCTCAGTGAGGGTCCATCCAGAGCCGCTCTGTTATTGGCTCAAACACAGTGAGAGCCGTTCTGTTATTGGCTCAAACACACACACACACACACACACACACACACACACACACACACACACACACACACACACACACACACACACACACACACACACACACACACACACACACACACACACACACACACACACACACACAGCACACCCACAGCCACACACAGCCACACACACACACACAGCCACACACACACACAGCCACACACACACACACAGCCACACACACACACACAGCCACACACACACATCCACACACACACACACAGCCACACACACATCCACACAACCACACACACACATAGCCACACACACATCCACACAACCACACACACACACACAGCCACACACACACACACACACACAGCCACACACACACACACACACACACCACACACACACACACACACACACACACACACACACACACACACACACACACAGTGAGAGGAGCTAATGCTAACACCTGGACGCTACAGGTAGCTGTTGAAGGACAGGAGGGCGTGCATTACGTATTCATCAGCCAAAAACTCACATATTTTACTTTTATACACTTTTTTTGTATATTTTTTAGGGTATTCCTATTTTTACATCACTTTTTTATTTCTTTCACATCATTTTAGGATATGTTTTTATTATTTCCAGACATTTCCCCAGTCATTTGTAGAGATTGTATTAAATGTTCAATTATTTAAGACACTTTCTATGTAACTTTCCATTTTTTACCTCATTTTTGGACATTTTAACAAATGTTGGAGACCTTCTTCCAGATGAGTAGCTGCACATCCTTAGAGCTCTTTCATTGTAGGATTAAGTGAATATTTATATTGACATCATATATTTGAATTGCACTTTTTGCCCTAGCATTAATTACATTTTAATCTGGTATTCAAGGTATTTTTTAACGTCTCACCTAGAAGTCTAACTTACTCAAAGTTCAGGTAAATAGAGAATAACCTGGTGGTAAGTGCGGTCAACCTCAAGCTGAGATTGTACTCAGAGGGGAGAGGGAGAACTTCCAAAAACACAGTAAATAAAAAACTTCTCCAGTTTTTTTTATTTGTATGGTTTTTTAATGAATCTTTACCGCTGACTTCCTCTCATTTCTCTCCAGGTATGAGGTCGTTTTCCAGCGCCTCTGGGTCACTAGCATACAGGTCGGTCCAACACACACACACACACACACACACACACACACACACACACACACACACACACACACACACACACACACACACACACACACACACACACACACACACACACACACACACACACACACGGCAGCTGCACCTTTTATAGTCCTATAAAGGCACTGTGTGGCTGTGGTTCTCTACAGGACCTTTATAGTGCTGTAAAGAGCTGCTTCAGGAATGTGTGAACAGGTATGAATGCAGCTGTAAGAGGATATATATTAAGTGTGTGTGTGTGTTGCAGTATATCAGAGGAGGAGCCCGGCCCTCTGCGCAGCGACGCTGATGGAAAGAGTACGACGAAAGTCAGCCGGACGTTCAGCTACCTCAAGAACAAGATGTACAAGAAAACCAGGGTACGAGTTTCATTATCCTTCAAACATCTACTATCCCCTACAGACTGTACTGTGTCTCATGTGAAGTGTGTTGCCCTCCTGCTACTCCTTTAAAGAGAAACTAACACACTTTCAAAATGCATTGATCATTTATTCTGCATTTTTTTACATATATGTTGACCATACATATTTTCGATCTATTATTTGACCTATATTTCATACATTTTACATATTTTACATAGTTTATTTATATTATTATACCTTTGACATTTTGCACATATTATTCAGACATTTATTACATATTTCCCCAAAGAAATCTCCCATATTTCAGACATTTTTAATTATATTTCAGAGGTTTATTCACATATTTATAGGACATTTTTTCACGTATTTTTTCTAATATTTCTCATACTTTCCAAACTTTTTCCATTTGCTCTTCAGACATTTGATGAAAAAACAATGTAGGCATTTTATTACTTATTTTTAGGAAATGTTTCAATTATATATCAGACATTTCCCACATATTTTCCGGACATTTAATTACATTTAGTACTCAAAGTTATTTACATAATGATAGGACATGACTCAGCACCGCTATGAAACACTCAGTGGTGACATCATGCTGTTTGACATCAAGACATTTGTTTTGCAAATACAAAAAGGAGAAGCACACACTTTTGTGTGTGTGTGTGTGTGTGTGTGTGTGTGTGTGTGTGTGTGTGTGTGTGTGTGTGTGTGTGTGTGTGTGTGTGTGTGTGTGTGTGTGTGTGTGTGTGTGTGTGTGTGTGTGTGTGTGTGTGTGTGTGTGTGTGTGTGTGTGTGTGTGTGTGTGTGTGTGTGTGTGTGTGTGTGTGTGTGTGTGTGTGTGTGTGTGTGTGTGTGTGTGTGTGTGTGTGTGTGTGGTGTGTGTGTGTGGGGGGGGGTGTGTGTGTGTGTGTGTGTATACCAGTGGCGAACCGCGGCCCTGTCTGTAGACACACCCCCCCCGCCGTTCACTGAATTGTCGTCTTGAAAACGGTACTCACAACAATTCCGCAACAACTTCCTCTTCACATGTTGCACTTGGCATTTCAACGTTAAAACCAATAAAACGGCATGAATTGCTTCGTCACATTCATCTAGATCCTCTGTCTCGAGCCAGTTAACTAGCGGGCCTTCTAGAATACCCTGGAACCGAGGGGAACTCTGAAAGAACACGCCCATTGGCTACAAATCAATATATGATTGGTTGATCAAACTGTCAGTCCAAACGCACGCTCTCATTCAGTGCAACGGCCAGAGCATTCGATCAAGGATGTAGAATACCTTGGTGAAGGATATTCTACCCAGAGACCCAGAACAAGATCTGATTGGTTGCTTTCTTTTCTAACACAAAACCACTGAAATGCGTAGTGCATGGTCCGAGAAGGACAAACAAATCAACGTAACACTGTGATATTACAGATCAACAACACGGATACGATTCTCATTTATTCATTTTATTACATTTTATTTATTTAATTAAATCGATGTTTTGTTTGTTTTATCCGAGTGTTCCAGGGTATTCTCTGCATACCGTGACGGTTCGCCACTGCGTAATACTGACACTGAGGATTGCTTTCTGTTTCACTGTCCTGTCTACAAGGACATATGATATGTTCTTTTAGTAAAATGACATCAATGTATGTGGATTTTCTGGTCGGATGACGATGAAAAACCTCAGAAGAAATGACCTTTTTAGGCAGATTTATTTCTGCATAGCGTAGGCGCTATTTCATTAAAGCCCGAGCAATGACATAAGACTTACTTTCACAACATCAAAACATGTTTCACCACTGCAACTGCTTTATTGTGTCTTTTGAGAGCCCATTAGGATTAGGCACATGTGCACGACACCAACATATAGACAGACATTTGTTAATTAAACCGTCAATATTTAGATTTTAAAATTACCCTCATAAAAAGTCCTGTTTGGGGCAAAGTGGGTCCAGATATAAGCTTAAACTGTGCGATAGTGCAGGCGTTGCAGAGAGACACAGAGGGCGAACAGGAAGTGAAACAGGAAGCTGGAGCTGTGGTTTATATAATCTCTTCTCTAACCTCAGTCTGCTTTTAAAGAGACAGAACAGAGCCACAGGTCAGCCGTATGGATCGTGGTTTTGCCGATAATAAGACCATTTAAAAACGTTGATGTTGAAATTGACACCTGGTTATTGGATTGCATCCATAATATACTGTATATATTACAAATATTCAGTGACAACCAACGAAGCCACCTCAGCGACCTCAGACCTGTCACACACCACTTTTAACTATCAGATTGAAATGGACGTGACTTTTTAAAATCAAAGATATGAAAAACATTCGATTTTTGCCGTGTTTGCTCGTAATCCAGCCTCCTTGTTCACACGCCCTTTTCCAAACTGAATGTATGTTATTCCTATTGCTTTGGATGGTGAAAATAGGATTAGTAAACCTAACTAACTAACATACGTTTGGGGAGATTAACAGTACATGTTTTATCATTTATTCACATATATCTGACATTTTCCACACATTTTAGGACGTTTTTTTTATTTCTTTGCGCCTTTCTTGATATTTCTTCACCCATTTCTTTGCATGTCAACGGTCTGGAACTCCTCCATAGACACTGCTTGTGGAAACCTGTTAAAGATGACAAAGCTACTTCTTAAAGCTCTTCTCTTTTGAGTTGTGCTTCAGTTTCTCCACAGTCTCAGTGTTCTTTAAGAGGATGTCGTTTGTGCAGTTTTGAAACAGCGTCTTCAGCAGAGGGTCATTGCAGTAACAGAGGCTCACTTCCTCATCGCCTTTCTCCTGATGGAGCCTCACAGCTGGTATCAGACAGACAGACACACAAACACACACACACACACACACAGACGGACAGCGATGTTGTACAGGAGGTTCGCAGGGAGCCATGGCTTCTCACTAAGGTGGAGATGTTGGCTGGAGGTAGGCTAATATAGTTCATAGTTGTGACTGTCCTAGTGTTAAAAGGCTCGTTGCAGCCGTATGAGCCGATGTCTTGTTTTCCAGTGAAGTCGTCGCCGGTTAAAGTGTCCTTCACTCTTTCTGTTTGAATCTGTCGTAAGAGGTTACTTCTGAATGCTTGTGGCCAAAATCTAAACGAGCTAAAAAAAATGAAGACAGCAGTGATGTACACCGACTGGCATTTGGCAGGGAGCCACAAGGTTCCTTTTTCAAGTATGTTTGCTTAATTCAGTTGTTTAAATGTCGCTAGTGGTTACTCCTGTTCTGAACGCTTTTAGCCAAAATATAAAAATCCTAAAAAAAGTATTAACTTAAAAATAATTGGTCGTCCTTGCTATATTTGTGAAGCATCATATTTAAAAGAAAAATGATTATTGAAATAAGATACTGTGGTTTCTAGTTTTTGGAAGTGTTAGACCAGCTTTGGTTAAGCAGCTGTTGCAGGAAGTGAGAATGAGGAAGTATTCACGTCCTTTACTTAAGTAAAAGTCACAATACGCGTTAAAAGACAGCTTTTAAAAGCCCACTTGTGTAAAAGTACAAAGGTGTGATCAGAAATAGTAGACAAAAGTCAAATGAAAATAAAAAGTACTTAAAGAAACTCCATGTGTCATATATTATTAAATGCATGACATTATAATATTTGTAGTGTTGGATGAATAAAGTTGTTTACTGTTCTAAATAATAATTCATGATAAAGACTTCTTATTCAAGTCTTCAAATGCTCTACTTTAAAGAGTCCTCTCCTGCTGATGTTCAGGTGTATATCAGTATGTAGTGTCTCTACTTTAAAGAGTCCTCTCCTGCTGATGTTCAGGTGTATATCAGTATGTAGTGTCTCTACTTTAAAGAGTCCTCTCCTGCTGATGTTCAGGTGTATATCAGTATGTAGTGTCTCTACTTTAAAGAGTCCTCTCCTGCTGATGTTCAGGTGTATATCAGTATGTAGTGTCTCTACTTTAAAGAGTCCTCTCCTGCTGATGTTCAGGTGTATATCAGTATGTAGTGTCTCTACTTTAAAGAGTCCTCTCCTGCTGATGTTCAGGTGTATATCAGTATGTAGTGTCTCTACTTTAAAGAGTCATCTCCTGCTGATGTTCAGGTGTATATCAGTATGTAGTGTCTCTACTTTAAAGAGTCCTCTCCTGCTGATGTTCAGGTGTATATCAGTATGTAGTGTCTCTACTTTAAAGAGTCCTCTCCTGCTGATGTTCAGGTGTATATCAGTATGTAGTGTCTCTACTTAAAGAGTCCTCTCCTGCTGATGTTCAGGTGTATATCAGTATGTAGTGTCTCTACTTTAAAGAGTCCTCTCCTGCTGATGTTCAGGTGTATATCAGTATGTAGTGTCTCTACTTTAAAGAGTCCTCTCCTGCTGATGTTCAGGTGTATATCAGTATGTAGTGTCTCTACTTTAAAGAGTCCTCTCCTGCTGATGTTCAGGTGTATATTAGTATGTAGTGTCTCTACTTTAAAGAGTCCTCGCCTGCTGATGTTCAGGTGTATATCAGTATGTAGTGTCTCTACTTTAAAGAGTCCTCTCCTGCTGATGTTCAGGTGTATATCAGTATGTAGTGTCTCTACTTTAAAGATTGGTTAGCTGGCCGGCTGGCCGGTTCTGTTGTGATTGGTCAACAGCTTAAAGATGTCCCGCCCCTTAGCCTATCATGTACAATATGTTGAAGCCAATAGAAGCGCATAATGATGTCAATATGTTAAGGAAATAAACAAAGGAGTCCAATGGAGTGGGATTGTAGCCTTTGCAGACCATTAACATGCACAAAAACCTATAAAACACACTACAGGAAAGAGAACACCCGGAAAAAGCAGAATAGGGCCTCTTTAAACCATGCCATATCTGAATGAGCTGCAGTGTGTCAGAACTCTGCGGTCTCCTCTAACCAAGAGGCCCGCGGCGGCCATTAAGAAAGCTGGAAACTCCACTTCCCGTTTCCTCTGGGTTTGGGTGGAGGCTCTGTGATGCCATGCAGGAGAAAAGCAGCTCTGTTCTCCCGGCTGGGCTTCACGGTGATTATGATTCAGCTCTGCGCTCAGAGATGACCAACAGCTGAGGATGACCTCGTTCTCAGCTGTTATGGAAAGGTCACAGATTTGATTCCCAGACAGCGAGTCTCCGTCTGGAGTCATGCTTCCTGAAGAGGAGCTGAACCCTCCCTGAGGTTTCATCATGAGGATGGTTGAGGAACAGTAGCTGAGGAAACTACAAAATATAGGAAACTACATGATATAGATATCATATTTTATTACTGTCCGTCCTGTTAGGCCCCAAGCCTGTTTTTCAGGTTTCAGGCTCTAAAATGACATTCCCAGAACAAATGACCATATCTTCCCTTCTAAAAGGGTTAAATTAATAATCTTTTTTCAAAGTAATGATATACCTGTGAGTTGGATGTAGAAAAGTCAGAATCAATATAGATGTTTTTTATTTTAAAGAAAATTCAGATTGAACATGGTAAAAAAACTGTAAATTATAGTGTCCGTCCAAAAGATATTGTGTACTTATAGTGAAAACTAACATTGGATGATGGGTTTAGTAGACTAAACGCTTTAGGAATCCAAAGTACAACATATAATAAGTATCCTGTATCAACATTGATGCAAAACAAGTGATGTTTGATCTTTTTAGACAGATTTAGCAAAAAAAACCTCTTCTGTGGCCATTTGGGTGGATTTTTCTTATCTCTGGCCCCCCTTGTTCGATTTTGACATGTGACATCTCTTTCTGTTAGAGCCAATAGAATCCAAGGGAAATCGTCCCGCACACACTCATGTTAAAAAAAAAGCAGCGGAAAAGCCGTTTTATTTCTTATGGATTATCAGAACATTTAAAAGGTGACGCAGTCACATTGGATTAACCTATGGATTAACTACAGCATCGTTTTGATCGTTTTAATGCCATTGAAGACCAGTTTAGACCAGACAAAGACGAAGGTAAGCCATGTTAGCTTTGTGGGCTACCTAGCGCCACTTGTTTTGATGTACGTTTTTGTTGATAACGTCGCGAGTTTGTATCTTTCAGTGTTGAGGTGGGCACCGTTAGATTCTGTGCCTCCTTGCGGTCATAAACGATGTGTTGGATGTGCACCTAGGATAAGTAATAAGGGAGCTAGGAGTGATTATCAGTGCAGTAATAGGTTAGCATTTTTCGCTCAGGGGTAATTTAGATGCTTCTTATGAGACTTCAATTCAAAATTCAATTCAAAACCTTTATTTATACAGATAAAACCCATTGAGATCATAGACCTCTTTTACAATGGTGACCTGCTTCAATTAGTTCCAAACATTAATACAAACATGACAGAAAACAAAGGACATTATATGATACTACAGTTTGTATACTAGTAGCATTTACAGACACCAATATTTTCTGACTTGTGTTTTGTTTTGGTAAAAATGGTTTGTATCGTCAGTTAGCTGAGATTATTCCCGTTAATCTGGTATAACACATGAATAGGTTCTTAAATATTAAGATCCCCTGAGACACAGTGTCGTGAAAAAAAAAAAAAAAAAGTACCCGCCGGCGGGGACCTTGGGGTTTAACAGTTTATGTCTTGTGTTCAAACCCCTTCCCCCACATCATTACTAGGTCAGTTCATACTGCTCTCTGTTGTGTATTTTAATCTAATGTACTTCCTCTTTGTTTGTTGTTTGAATTGTACTTTTTTATCGAGTACTTTTTGAGTAGATTCTTACACTATTATTATTTTTTGAAGATTTTAACTTCTTATAGTCATGCAAATATCCCTATTTTATTCATATTTTGTGTGCACATTATTCGTTGTTTTAGTTTATATACATATGTTTATTTAATTAAATATTTGATTGGACAATTTTTTTTTATCGTCTTACGTTTATATAAATATTTACCTTAAATATATATAATTTTTTATTTAATATAATTTATTTTATCTTTAATTTAATTTAATTTTTGATTGCACATTCTTACTTCAAATACATATTTTTTTCTCTATTTAATTTAATTTTTTATTCAACGTTTTACTTTAACTTTTCATCATTATCGAAACATCTTTAACTTGAACTTCTTATACTTATGTGAATATTTTTGACATTTATATTTTTCATTTTATTTCCATCTCAAATAGAGAATCTATCAAGCCCTTTGAAACTCTGATTTTGAGTTAAAGATTCTTACTCTATTATTATTTTTATGAAGATGTTAACTTCTTATAGTCATGTAATTATCATTATTTTATTTGTATTGCACATTATTATTATTATTATTATTATTATTATTATTATTATTTTATATACATATTTTAATATAATTTCATCTTTTTGTTGGAGAATGTATTTTATCTTCTTACGTTCATAAAAATATTTTTATTTATTCGTATTTCTACTATTTTTATTTTGTATTTTTTTATTGGACATTTTAATTTGTATTTTCATTGTTAATATAATTTTTTTATTTGAATTTCTTTTTAATGTAAATTCTTACTTCAAATAAATATATTTTTCTCTATTTTATTTTATTTTTTATTCAACGTCTTACTTTAACTTCTCATCAGTATCATTATTTTTATTTCACATTCTAACTTCTACTTCTTATACTTATACTATATTTTTCATTTCATTTCCATCTCAAATAGAGAACCTATCAAGCCCTTTGAAACTCTGATTTTGAGTTAAAGTTTATTATAATTACCACTAATCAGATGAACTGATCCGACTCCCTTTAATATCCAAAAGTCTCCTAACGAGGCCATTTGTTGAGTCTAAATAAAGCATCTCTTAATAAGCGAAGCCCCCTGCTGTGCGCTGCATCTCAGTGATCATGGAAGCCGACATGTTGTTATAGGTGTTTGTCTGACTGCCTGACTCTGATCTGTTCTGCCTGTGCAGGAGAAGGAGAAGAAGAGCCGACATGTTGTTATAGGTGTTTGTCTGACTGCCTGACTCTGATCTGTTCTGCCTGTGCAGGAGAAGGAGAAGAAGATCCGACATGTTGTTATAGGTGTTTGTCTGACTGCCTGACTCTGATCTGTTCTACCTGTGCAGGAGAAGGAGAAGAAGAGCCGACATGTTGTTATAGGTGTTTGTTTGTCTGACTGCCTGACTCTGATCTGTTCTGCCTGCGTTGTTATAGGTGTTTGTCTGACTGCCTGACTCTGATCTGTTCTACCTGTGCAGGAGAAGGAGAAGAAGATCCGACATGTTGTTATAGGTGTTTGTCTGACTGCCTGACTCTGATCTGTTCTACCTGTGCAGGAGAAGGAGAAAGATAAGGATGGGAAGGAGAAGGAGAAGAAGGCGATAAACGGACATCTTTTCTCCCCGCTGACCCCAGGTCAGGGCCAGTGCTTCCAGTGCAGCAAAGCCTTCAACAGCAAGGATGCCTTCCTCTGCTCACGTGAGTCTATCTGTTGTTTGTTGTTGTTTATTCCAGCTCACTGTCATTGTTTGTGACGCATCGGGACTTCTGTTGCTTTAAGTTGAATAAAAGCCCTTTATTGTCAATCTTTCAGTTTGCGTGTACAGACAGAGAGATCGAAATACGGTTTCCCACAATCCAGAATACAAAAACAAATATGTATAAAAATATGTATATACATACACAATCAACATTGTTGGGATAAAGTGCAGCGAGGCGGTCGTTATGGAAAACCAAACACCCGACATATTGGGCTTATTACACGGCCACATACTAAACACACTAACGACTCGACTCCCAATATTAATGTTATTGATTTTATTGACTTGAAAATGATCGTATGATCGTATTGCTTCCGTTAAGAAAAAAACTACGGCAACAACAACTTAATGTAAATGAAATGGCAGCACTGATCAAGGTGTTGAATAGGGCTGCAACAAACGACTCATTTGATAATCGATTAATCTATCGATTAATGAAACGATTAATCGACTATTCTGACTTTTATGCCTTGCACAATTTCTCAAACGCTCTTATTTAGCCATCAACTTTTAGATTTAGCTTGAGGTTGTTTTAGGCATGTGGAAACTAACAATGAAGACAATAAAGATGAATACTTGATTAAAAAATACATATATTATTAAATTAACAATTTTGTTGTCTTTTTGCATTTTAGAAACGAGTTGGCGACACTAAGACTGCGATATATTGTTTTTGTAGCAATAATACATATGACATATATTTTTTAAATGTCTCCAGTACCGATAAAAAAGACCAATAACGTTGGAGCTTAACGGCGCGTAAAACACACGTGATGACGTCACCAACGAATCGACGACTGAATTAGTTGGCAACTAATTTGGTAATCGATTTTAATCGATTAAGTCGATTAGTTGTTGCACCCCTAGTGTTGAACCCTAACCAGTCCTTAAACACTTTACTTTCTGTCTGTTAACCTCTTTTATTTTCTCTCTCTTGATCCTCCTTAGCAACGGTCATTATGTTGCTTAGCAGCAGTGTGTTATCGACTATTGATAACTTCAGAAATATCCAAATTGACCAATCAGAATCAAGTTTTCAACTGAGCTGTGTTTTTAAAGGTTTCTAATGCTCATGTATTTTTAAATTGAAGACATGTAAAGGTGGAAAACACAGAATTGGATATACTGTGAGGGGAATCTGACGAGGTCTGCTAGTGGCTTTTTAAATGTGCAAAACTCACCTGTCTTCAATCCAACTTCACGTATTTTGATAAAGATTGGTGCAGTTAAACGTTATTTTAGTTATTATAAACCTTTTTTAATTGTCGTACTGATCATAATAGTAGTACAGGTTAACCAACTTTCTTGCTGATGTAAATACAGTTTAAAGGATGAAACATTCATAGTTTGATATCTGTGTTTCAGTATGTTGCAATGTTTCAAATGAAAGGGCTCTTGTCTGAGCTTCAGGATCATTTTGATGATCTCTAAACCTGAATGCAACACAGACAACAGCAGAACAGCTTGTGCATTGTTTTCCTCTGAAGCAGCAGCAGCAGCTCGAAAGAGGATGTTCTGTATTGCTAAAGCTTTTTGCTGGAAACCTAGAAAAAAGGAAAGGTCCTTAAAAGGAGAAGCAGCTCTGAGATGGATCGCAGTCACAATCTGACTCAGAAACAGCCTCTTCTTGTTTGGTGACGGTGTTTTGGGGATGTGTGCAGATGTGTGGCTGGTGTCCATTCAACAGAAAACACTGATCCTTTGTGTGAGATTAGCTGGAGCGAGTTAGACGTCCACAATAAGCTGCAAAATACCCAATAAAACCATTAAAGAGCAGAAACACGCCGCAGGAATTTCAGCTGGTTTTACTGTGCACGTCATAATTAGAGACAATCAACGTTTTTCGTGCAGTAACAGAAGTCAAATGTCTCTCTGACGGTACGACTGCTGCTTTCTTATTTTACTTCCAGATAATTTCTCAGGCTGTGCGTCAGGGATGATGTAACCCTCACAGCGGACATGTTGTTTGACAGGAAACATGACGAGGTCTGTCAGTGGTTTGCAACATGTCTGTGAAACTCACCTGGAAACAAGCTTCTGTTGATCAATCGCGCTTTACCTGTAGAGCTACTTTCAAATGAGGAATTGGTGCAGTTCAACTTAAAGGGGACCTATCATGCAAAATGCACTTTGTGATGTCTTTTATACATCAACATGTGTCCCCGGTGCGTCAGGGAACTCACGCAGCGTCAGAAAATAAAACCCTCTCTCTTTTCCTCCGTACCCAAATCTCTAAAAACGGGGAACAACAGGGTTTCCGTTAGCCGGTAATTACTGGTTTTTAGCTGGTAAAATGTAATAAAAACCGGTAAATTCAAAACCTGCCGGTCAAAATGTCCGATGCTCCGATCGATTGGCCGCCGGTCATTATCGGCCGATATTCACTCTTAATCTGTGCTCTCTAGAAAGGCAGATCAGGAGAGCTGGATCTGATCGATATGGACATAAACACGAGTGAAGTATAACCGGACGCAAGAGAGAGAGAGATCAGATCAGCTGCTGCAAAAAAGTATATATCTGAGACCTACGCTATTGCCTAAAAATAGCATGATAGTTGACCTTTAAGACTGGCGACAAAAAAGACAAAAACAATGCAACAAACATAAATAAATTGTAAAAATGTTATACCCTTTAAAGCAGTGTTTCTCAAACTGTTTCATACCAAGGACCACCTAACCAATAAAAAAACACTCGCGGACCACCTAACTCCACAAATATCAAAAAACACATCGTTTTTCTAGAACAGATTACAAATCGCCTGAAAATGGTACAAACAAGTGGCAACATGTGTGACGAAGGTGTTGCGCTGGGCTATCATGCAATCAAAAGAAACTTAAGCTCGCTCCATTGCGGAGATATTCCCGCGAGAGTGCGGAAAACTGAAATTTATTTATTTATTTCAATTGTGAAATGTTACCAATATACTCACGGACCACTAGGGGGCGCTCACGGACCACCAGTGGTCCGCGGACCACACTTTGAGAAGCACTGCTTTAATTAAAATAAGCTTTTAACACATTAACAATAAAATAGGATAACTTGAACACACTGAAATTGATGATTATAAAATACAAATAAAATATGTAAATGATCCAATGTCAATACTTTAAAATGAGGTATTGATAACATAAGAATAGAAGATAATACAATTGATAAAAAAAACTATAAATAGGATATCACTTTACAACTTGTGTTCAGCAAAATATAAAATATAATTAAATTGTAATAAAAAATATGTGTATAAAAACATGGAAAATATACCATAATATTAAATCATAACAATTAATATATATCTACTTTACTTTAATACCATAAATACAAAATGAGGATTACATTCAAATACATTTTAAACAGTAAAATAATTAAATCCAATTTAAAAAGAAACGTCTATAATAAACCACTCTTAATTAAACGCCTAGCTTCACAGTTAGGTTTTAAGTTTTCAAAACACACAAGTTATTTATTAATATGAACTCCTTATTTTGCAACAGCCAGTTAGTTCTCCTTCTTCAAAACAAATATTAAATAATATTAGAATATTCAGAGTACGGAATAAAGCTTTTCCCGTGACACGGAGGAATCAGATTTCAGATCAGATCTTATTTCAGCCGTCATGAACTTCTGTTCCAGATCGGTCATTTGAGAATGTTTATATAAAAGAAATGTTTGTGTTGTGTGTGTGTGTGTGTGTGTGTGTGTGTGTGTGTGTGTGTGTGTGTGTGTGTGTGTGTGTGTGTGTGTGTGTGTGTGTGTGTGTGTGTGTGTGTGTGTGTGTGTGTGTGTGTGTGTGTGTGTGTGTGTGTGTGTGTGTGTGTGTGGTGTGTGTGTGTGTGTGTGTGTGTGTGTGTGTGTGTGTGGTGTGTGTGTGTGTGTGTGTGTGTGTGTGTGTGTGTGTGTGTGTGTGTGGCCTAGCATTACTATACTTGTGGGGACCTAAATATGTTTACATAGTCACGTGTGGGGACTCGCCTCCCTTATGGGGACAAATTGGAGGTCTCCATGAGGGGAATCATTAATGTTAGGGTGAAGACTTGTTTAGGGTTAGGATTAGGCATGTGTTGGTTATGGTTAAGGTTTGGATAAGTCTCCAGGAAATGCATGTAAGTCAATGTAATGTCCCCTGAAGTGATGTATA